AAGTTAACACAGACATCGCGACCACGATCCCAGGAATAAAGTAACACATATGCAGACCCAAGGACCCATCGTTCTCTTTAGACAACCTAATACTAACCTCCTTTCCAACTAAAATTCCAGATCGATAACAAACATCAACAAGGGTATCCCGAACAACATTATGGCGATGTTTAATATCCACCTTACCAGCACACGTTACCGCATGATCACCGAAAATATCCCCAATGAAAAGTCTTGAACAAGCAGAGTATGACGTTGAGATCGACAGAGAACAAGGTGTAGGGAATATTTCAAGCATTACCCCAAACTTGAACCCCACTGCGATCATACACTAAAGTACGGTGGCGTCCAAAGGGAAAGAAGATAGAGCAAAAGAGTCGCCAATAAGTTTTAGGAACTTGTAAACCGTTCACGAGGTGAAGGTTACACCCCTTAACGATCCAGGTTATCGTTAACTTTAATAGGTCTGGAACCATGACTGGTAGTTCGGGGATGAAGGTACAAATCCAACCTAAAAGAGATTGAACCTGCCCTAATAATAGGCATCTACTTTATTCTGATCGTATTCATGTGCGCTTTCTGACTAACATACAATCAATAGGATTAATCCTAAACTTGTTTATGTATGTTGGTTGAATATTAATGCACAAATAATCATAATAATAATTATAATCAATAATCATCATCATGTTAAAGCATAATAGCAAGATCCTAGGCGAGATACTAACAAGATTAATAACAAACTCTAGTATGTCACTAAACATTAAAAATAAAAGCTTTAGCCCTAACATGATACTAACATGATATTAGGAAAGAAAATAGGAAGCATCATAGAAATCATAATTGATTTAAGAAACTTATTGTTGTCACTCTAAACATGATACTAGGAAGCAATAAAACATCATAACATAATAATAGGTTTCAAAATAACAATCCAAGCATGATTTCTATATCATAATATCAATAAAAGCAATTAAAGAACTTACTTGTATGCCCGTACCTCTTTCTAATAACAAAATACACACGTTAGTAATTTCAAGGAAAATAAAACAAAATAATTAAATTAATTAATTGAAATAGGGATTTGGGACTAAACCCTCAAAAATATCAAACCTTTCACGTCTATGGCGAAGGAAACTTCGAACTTGGCCAGGTGTGTCTAGTGCTAATGTGTGAGGAATTGTGTTTGTAAAAGGCTAGGCTAGAAAAAGAGAGAGAGAGAGAGAGAGAATCAAAAAATTCTTGATGAGAGTTAATGATAGAGAGAATTGATGATTGAAAACAGAGGTTTTAGGAGGCTATTTATTGAGGATATGATAAAAAAGAATCAGAGTTTCGAAAAGAATAAAACACAAACGCAGTGCCAAACACGCGTCTGTCGCCAGACGCTGGGCTTGGCGCCAAACGCTGCAAGACAGTTTTTGCGGATTTTGTTTTTATCATATCTTTTGATCCAGAAGTCCAAATAAGTCATATAATATGTCGATGGAAATCTCTTGAAATATAATTTCCAACACAATTAGAATTCAATTAAAATCTTTTGTAGATAAAAAGATATGGCAAAAATAGTGAAAGGGTGTCAGTTTTGGATAGAGTTTCATATTCCATTCATATCTTTTTCGTTATAGCTCGGAATTAATATTATAATATATCATTGGAAAGATAATTTCAAGATCGATCCAAGCATATAAAATTTGGATAAATATTATGAGGCACGAAAATAAAATCTGAATATATTCCACTTCGTACAAAACAAGGATTCTAAAAGGAGTAGTTTTATTCACTTTCAAACTCGTTGAAACATAATTATTAATCCTAACTCAATTAGGATTTAAGATAACCTTCTAGAGTATTCTAGAAGACTATAATCAATCCTAATATCTTTAGGAATGATAATTTATAATAAGCCCTCCTCTAGATCATTGGGCCGCATATAAAAACCAAATCGGTCCCAGTTTAGTATTTTGGCCACAACTTCCTCATTATTCATCGGAATTGGGATTATAATATATCGTTGAAAAGGTCTTTTCAAGCCCCATACAACTACAATATTATTAGACCCTTGTCATGGACCAAACTATACTGGAATGCACGTTTTTCATAAATAAGGTAAGAAAAGAAATATTTTCAAAAACAGAAAGAAGAGATATTTTAATAAAAACATCCTCATCACTAGACTTTTCACACTTTCGCTTTGTTCAATAATCAAATGACATGAAAGGTATTCATCACTGGGTTTGGTTTTGGGGAGACACATTTGGGTGTCTACACAAGGGAACGCCTAATTTGTAGCACAACACAAATCGGTAAGTATTTGTGTTCATCGTCTAACCCAACCCTAAAATAGGAACTGTCTAAGCCAATTATTATTATAATAATTATTATTATTATTGAGATTGAATATCAAACAAAATTTAAATCGAAATCATAAAATTAAAAAACTAAACAAAATATGAATCATTCACATGATAACAGCAAAATAGTGAACTTAATCCTATCTACTTCGAAAGAAAAACAATTAGGGCGATGTTATTTCTCATACCCCAGCAATCTGTCATACCTTTTTTTATTTTACTATTCCTAAAAAAAAAATTAAAAAAAAATCTAGTGCTTTCGTGTTTTCATAGAGTTCAACATCACCGCAAACAATTTTCCGGGGTAAGCTTTGAATACTTGTATCTGGACCGATAATGGTTTATCATCTTATCGGATACCTATATAGACAACGCAGATTAGCTGTCCGCGTGATTTGTGTGATGATAACCGCTTTGATACTAATGAGTGAAAAAGAAGGTTTAAGACTTTAAGTGTAATTAAGTTAAGAAATACGTACCTTATTAGAAGTGAGTTATGTTAGGGTATTTTTTGAAATCCCCAAACTGGTGCCACATGTTGGACCTCTACATTTTAGTTTGGTTTCAGGTCTGGGTTTCAAAATGAACACCAGAAGATATTATTTTCAAGACTATTATAATAACATATGAGAATAGAGAGTGAGCGATAGCTCAAGTGATTAGAGCTTTCTTCCCGCTATCAGGAGATTTTGCGATTGATTTTCACCCTAATCCTTTGTGGCTCGCCTCTCTAAAAACCAAGAGAAGAAGAAAAAAAAAAGAAAAAAAAAACACATACTCGTATATTATATCGAAGGAAGAAAGTACAACATTACTATTATTATACAATAAAAGTCACAAAGACCTTTTCTTTCGAACTCCATGCATTTATTTAATTAAACAAGATTGGAGTATATATACTACATAGTTAATGTCATTATAAATAACATTAATTAATTTTCTTAAGGTCTTCATCTTTTGGATAACATGTATCACTTCCAGGAGGAGCCTCACAGGTAAAATACCATTCAGAAGAAATGAAAATGCATCGACAATAGCCGCAACATGGGTACAGAGGTCCGCAAGGTTCCCATACTTCTGAACAAGTGAGAGGTTTATTGACATCAACCACTTCCATCATAATTTTTGAGAGTGGATTAACAGCCCGGTGACGCCGAGCAGCCGAGGTGGTTTCGGGTTGGGTTGACAGCAGTATCAAGGCTACCATTAACACTATAGCTGCAACATTCATTTTCTTCATAGCCATCTTCTTATGCACTTCACTAGCTACTATATATGAGTACGTAGTAATTGCCTAATAATGGGTGACTAAGATTTAAGTGTATTTGTTTGTGATTTAAGGTTTCATAGTATCCCATTTATACAGCCATGTAAAGTAGGCCAGGCTAGTACTTTTTTATTGTTCACGTTTTTTTTGCATTGAATGGTAGACTGGGACATATTATTATTATATCTCAAAAACAAAAGTCATATAACCTACAATAAATTAATGGAAATTATTATTATTATTATTATTATTATTATTATTATTATTATTATTATTATTATTATTATTATTATTATTATTATACTTCGTATATTTTTTGTGACAATGACACAAACATAGTATTTCTCCTACTGAAGCGATCGAAAATGTAAATGATCCATATTCATTGTTATTGATTGAATATATAACTATCTTGATTTTCAATCATCAACTTAACTTTGAATTGTTTATGGTATCAAGAGCAAAGATGATAAGAAGGTTACAAATTTTTTAAAGGACCAATTGAATTAAACCAAAAGTTTAAATTGGTGGTTAAAACCTATAATTGGTTATATATTGTAGTCTGTAGCACTTATAAGAGAAAACTACTAAGGTTTGAAAACTTCAGTAACAAACCTAGGCCAACCTGTTTTAATAACATCATACCAAAAACTGATGTAAAAAAAAAAGGGGTTTTTCTCACTGGTAGCAATAAAAGTTTGTAAATTCTCTATGGTAGCAAATTTTTTGTCAAATTCTCTTAAATAGCATTAGTTTTACAAGTATTCCCTTGTATAGCTTTATTTTATTAAATGTGATATATTAGCCTAAAATACACTAACTATGGTTATGTAATAATAATTTACTAAATTACCCTCACTTAATTTATTGAATGATACAAGTATACTACCTTTTGTAAGTCCAATACGATCAGGGAGCTTTATCAAATATATATAATTAGGCTGCAACTTGCAAGCAATAGCCAAAAGGTTGGCACAATTAAATATCAAATTTCCATTGATCATGGGCAACCTTATTAATACAAATTACATGGACAAGTAGTGGGATTGCAACTACATTGTCAGATGACTTCAGAGCAAATTAGAAGAAAATATATAATGCGATATTCAGTACGTAATTTATACGGTATTGTATATGTTTACAAGGTAAAGACACATATGCATTGAACAATTATGCCTCACGAATTTCAGAGTGATGTGGTTTTTTTAACTGAGATGTTTTCAGGTCTGAAGTATCTCCTTACTTTGATTTTAATGGACTCGGAATTAGATTTTTGAGAAGCCATAGGCCTGTCAATCTCCAAGAGCTGACAGATCACATAAACAAATTAATTAAAGCATTAACATTAAAAAAGCTCCAACAACAAAATAATAACTAAATCAGAAGAATCCATCAGCCTGCAACAAAATTACAGTAAAATAACAGCAAACTACTTAATTACAGTAAATTAACAACAAAATAACAGCATTCAAATTTCATTCAACAAAATTTTATTCAAGCCAAATGCAAAATTTCTTAAAAATGGTCTGCCACTTAACTAATTGGTTCATAATAGTGTATGTTCTACCAAACAAAACACAAATTATTCATAAGACACTGGTTTATAATTGTCTTGGTTGAGATGCAAACATAAAGAGAGATCCCAATCTAGTTACTCCAATAGGTTGAGGTTGAGATGTAGCCAGCCTTGAAGTGTGTCCTCTAGTTGTTTTAGGTTGGGAACTTACTGCTACATTAGGAACATCAATGCCTTGAGAAGATGCATCTGATTTTGGCATGTTCTTTTTACTCGAACCCCACTTTTGCTTTGCAGTAGCTCCTCCTTTACAAGTCTTTGCATTATGCCAAAAATCTTGACACTTGCTACACCTAACAGTTTTGGCTCTCTTCCCCTTCCTATCTTCTGTTTCATCTCTCTTCCTGTTCCTGCTTGGTCTTCCTATTCCTCTTTTTAGCTCAGGTGGCAATATTTTTGGTAAATTAAACTCAGACCATTGCTCATGATCTGGTATTGATTTAATGCCATTCGAATATGCTGCCTTGTATCTTTTAACAGAGTACCACTCATCAACAAAAGCATGAGGGTCAAGCTTAGAATCTAATATGACCCTCATTCCATGTCTACATGGAATCCCAGATAATTGCCATTGTCTACAAACACAAGTTTGGTTATTCAAGCTTACGGGTAGGTATGACTTACCCTCAAGCACCTCAAATTCACCAAATAAAGACAAATATGAATGGCAGGTCCTTGAGTCATGACATAACTTTTGAACTCTTTGCACAATGTTTGGTCAAATGTCTGTTCTAGTCCACTCCTCACACTTCTATCTTCTAGAAGCCAACCTTACCATAGTGTTTCTTCCAATACCTACAAAAAATAATGACGCAATGTAGCATTGTTAACACAAGCCATGAAATCTTGCATTTCAAGATGACATATATACGATAATTTACCTTCTAAAAGTGTAAGTACAAGTCTACATCTGTCAATACCAAGAGTCGCATTAAAACTCTCAACAAAGTTGGACTTATTTGCATCACACTTTGTTGCAACGTTAAACTTATGCTTTGTCCACCGAGCTTGATTGCCTAGTTTTGCAAGCCATAACCTTCCTCCTTTTCCAACCTTATCCATTTGTTCCATAGATTTTTTAAAGGTGAACTCAGAACATGCACCACACGCTTTCCAAAATAAAGAGAGCATTAATGGACCAGGAAATGCTTTCTTCCAATTGGAAGCTAAATGTTTGGTACAATATCTCCTATCCACTTCTGGCCACAACTTGTCAAGTGCAATTTCAATTCCCTATTTATTTAACATTATGATTTTGTTAAATTAAAATGAAATACAAATTAAAAGTGCATGAAAACTTAATGAGACTAACCTTTTGCCGATCTGAAATGATACACCATTTATCTCCTCTTCCAGTTGACCTAAGTAAATCCCTCAAATGATGCACAAAGAAGCACCAAGTGTCTGAATCTTCATTAGAAACAATCCCCCAAGCAAATGGGAACAACTCATTGTTCCCATCTAGTGCTACTGTAGAAAGAAGAACACCCCCATAATTTCCTTTCAAGTGTGTCCCATCAACTCCAAAAAATCCTCTAATTCCATTCTTCAACCCATCCAAACATGGCTTAAATGAAATGAATATTGTGACAAAATCCAAAGGCCTATCAACATGAGTGTTTGGATTCCACACACAACTAGCATTAGAACTAGTCTTAGTTTTCTTGATCATTTCACAATAACTAGGCAAAAAAGAATATGACTCATCATAGCCACCATGTATCTCAATTAAGGCCCGAGCTCTGACTCTATACAATGTACTAGTGGCCATTTGAACATTAAACCTGTTACATAGTAATGCATCAATGCCTTACCAGAAATATCATTGTTGGCTCTAATGTCTTATAATAGCACTCTACTAGCCCATTTTGAAGTCACCATTGGATTTCTAGTTTCCTAACCCAAGCATGTGTGCTCTCCATTTTTCATTGACTTTATAGCCCAAGTGAAACCATCCGCTAATCTAGAAGCATGTAGCCTCCACTCACATTCCTCTGCAGAACAATATACAGTGTAAATTGCCCTATCAACAATCACTGAAAAGCCACATTGTATACAATAGTCCCTGACTACATCTCTCAAATGTTGCTTGTCGTAGAAAAGTTGCCATGGTCTTAATCTTATCTTACCATCTTCCTATTTATCAAAAATTTCCCCATTTTTATATAGCTTTGCAAAGTAATTTCCATCCCCATCATCTTCTACACCATCATCTTCCCAAACATCATTAGCATATGGGTCATAGTTATCCACAACAACAATCACATCAGCTTCATTATTCGTTTGCCTATCATCTTCATCACCATCTACAATTTCATCACCATCAATTGAAGATTCATTGTTTGTGCCAGAGAAGGAGAATTCTGGATCATATTCATCATCAAGATCTTGATTTTCAAGTGAAAGCATGTTAGATGTTCCAGCAACCGAAGGTGAAACTGAAGTTGAAGTTATCAAACCCTTCCTCCTAGCTGTTGTCTTTGGCATTTTCTTCTTCATAACTAGGGCTTTAGGTGAAAGGGATGACACAACTGACAGTTGTTGTTGTTTAGGTTGTTGTTCAGGTCGATCAGGTTCAACAATAGCTTGTCTATGCTCAGTTTGAGATGTTACATTACCAATTGTAGCTCCTGCCTCATTTTCAAGCCCCAACCAATACTTAAAACCTCTAGATTGTCCTCTTCCTCTTCCCCTAGAACCTCCCCTTCTCCCTCCTCTCCCTTCACCTCTTCCGCCTCTTCTCCCCCCTCTAGCCCTTACAAGACTTATTGTTTGACTCAAATCATCCAACGCATCCAAATCAACCTGATTTGATTCAATACCTTCATTATTTTGGCCAATGGTAGGGTTTGGAATTGGATTGATGGTACCCTAAATCATTATGCCTCTCAATCCCACTATGACTAGCATTTGAAAACCCGACAAGTTCTGCATCTTTTTTCTCCTTAATCTCTTGTTCTTTCCTTGTCGTCCTTACACTCTTAGCATCTTTAAAAACCTGAGTTGGACTATCTTCATCATAGACCCATATGTAAATCTCACTTTTTCCAGCAAACTCACTGAACATCCTCATTAAATCCTTATCAGTGTTCAGATAGTGGTATTTCATCTCATGCACATATCTAAAGCTAGGAAATTTAGGCATCACTATAACCTGTTTAACAGCATTGTCCCAGTATTCAATAACCACATCAATAAGGTTTATTGTATCAATGTCATCAATGACAACAGTAACATCACCACTATTATACTGAAATTTCAACACAATTTCATCACCCATTCTGCAATTTTCAAACAAATAAAAATGAATTTCAATTGCAACTTGCATAGTTCAAGAGAAGAAAAAATCGAATACCCTAATTGTATTACATTCAATGAAAAATAGAGTAAAGAAAAAAATTATAGATGAATTCAATATAATTCTAAATACCCAAATAAATTGGTAATTTCAAATATACAATCTTTAAAATAGAATTTTTTTTTTTTTTAAAAAAAAAAAGAAAAAGAAAAAAACGGAGAGAAATTGAATTGATAAACGCACAGATACATATATTCAATTCAATAACCATGCATTCATACTTACTAATACAATCAAAACACAATAGCAAAACAAAAAAACAAAATTTGATTAATCCTTAATACATAATAAACAAACCATACTTCATCAACATTAGTTCATATGTAAAACAGGGCATTCATGGTAATCTAATGCAGAAAGTTTGTTTTTTGCATTGTTTGAAATTTAGGAAGAAGGAATTACCTTGTAACTGTAGAAATTAGGCCTTTTTTTGCAGATTGAGATGATTGAGGTGATGAATTTTTTATAATTGCACTTGAGTTTGAGCGATCGAACAAGTAAAAACTTAAACGTTTTTCATCAGTGAAGTGATGAGGGTTTTGGTTATTGTAGGTATCATTCAATAAATTAAGTGAGGGTAATTTAGTAAATTATTATTACATAACCATGGTTAGTGTATTTTAGGCTAATATATCACATTTAATAAAATAAAGCTATACAAGGGAATAATTGTAAAACTAATGCTATTTAAGAGAATTTGACAAAAATTTTGCTACCATAGAGAATTTACAAACTTTTATTGCTACCAATGAGAAAAACCCAAAAAAAAAAACATCGTACCAATTTTTTTTTTAAACTCATGTACTCATCAAAACCTCATTCAAACCGAACCTTAAAAGTCATTACCCTTTGATCATGACCTAACCGTTTATAACAAGCGACTCTTAAAAGTCATTACTTTTTTTTATTTATTTTTTTATTTTTTGGTTAAAAGAGAAATTTTAATTGAGCAGTTGTTATAAAAGTGTTAGGAATTACAATAATAGAGTTCATGCCATCTATCATATATTGGAATTATAATATGCTTTGAGGGACACCTTCGAGTCATCTTTGTTTGAATTCTGATGTAGCTTGGTTTGCTTAGTGTTGTTCTAAAGAATACTACAAGAAGGGGGGGTTAAATTGTAGTATGAGAGATTAGCCAAACTTTTTGCGGAATTAAAATTAAGTTAGCTAAAGGAACTGAAAGATTAACTGAAGGAACTAAAGAATGCAAGAGAGATTTTACGTGGAAAACCCCTTGGCCCTAACAAGGAGAAAAACCACGACCACTTGGGATTTTGGGAAAAGAATCTTCACTGTAATAGGGCAAATGATCCTATTACTAGCTAAAGACTCAAACTCAAGTTCCTCTACGAACTTGAGACCCTGAGGAACAAGTCACCCAACTTGTTACTCTTCTCTTCTCTTTCTCTCTTCTCTGTTTTCTTTTCTCTTTCTCTTCTCTTTCTCACTTCTCTTTCTCATACACCAAAGTTCACTCGAACTTCCCCATTCCCCAAATTACAAATCGAAAGAAAAACAGACTCTAGTATAAGAACATTAAGAACACTCTAATGAACTTGTGTGGAATTGACACTTGACTCGAATTAAAAGTTAGAAAACTAATGTGAGCAAGGGTGAGTTTTTCCATCAGATTTCAAAGACTATTTATAGAGCAATAAACGTATAGGAAAAACCCCTTTGTGCACCAAATCCATCACGCCACTACTCATACCCACTAAGAAGATCATGTCCCTTGAATTAAGGAACCATGAACTCCTCAATGTGCAAAACCATGACTGAAGAAGAACATGGGAGAATAGGCCGCAAGTTTTGGAAAACATGGGAGATTATATTTTGTTAAAGATATTTTCGAAAATCAGAAAAAGGAATAAAATAAAATCTTTTTAATTTTACAAAAAGAAAAACGTTTAAATGATAACAGTTTTCCTAAAAACTAGCATGCACATATTTTATCTTTTAGACCAATTCCACACAGAAATTTCGAGTGCCAATTAATCTCTTATACTTACATAAATCCTAGAATATAAAATATATTTTAGTCTTCATGTTCTCTGATGAAGCTTCTACTCCGATGCTTCTGTTCCTTGGGAGGAACTTCTCTTCTCTGATGAGGCTTCTTCTCTAAAGCTTCTGTTCCCTGAGGGAACCTTCTCTTCTCCAGTCTTCATTTCTGAAGCACCAGTTCCTGCGAGGGAACTCTTTTTTATGGCTAGCTCTGCTTCTGGCCTTCTTGTTCCTCATGGTATTTTTACAAGACACTCCATTCTCCTAGTCTTTGTAACTGAGTACACACTTAAACAATCAAGCACTTATTAGTTTGTAAGTAAGTGAGTTTGTGTCATCATCAAAATCATTAAGTCCAACAATATTCTCCCTTTTTGATGATGAAAAACAAACCAAACTTACTTACAAGGAAATAGGGATAATCCATTTTAATCCTAAAGAAAGGAAATGCAAAAACAAAATATAATGCAGAATGGAAACTAATATTAAGAAAATAAAACCAATACATAGATAAATAACTTAAGGAAAAACTGAAAAACTTGAAAAAACTTGTATATACATTATACCAGCTTGTAGAGATTAGGCAGCTTGTGAAGATTTCGAATAGAGACCATAGAATGATTAAGTTTCCTTGATAGTTTGCATCTTTTCCCCCCTTTTGGCATTATCAAAAACTAACATACAAGCATATAGTATACCATAACACAGCACCATCTAGTGGTTAAATGTTAAGACAAGAAGCATGCATAGAGAGAAAACATTCACAAAGCATATAGGCAAAAGAAACATAAACATTCATCATCAAAAACCGATTTAAAACATCGGCCAATGTACCAAATTTGCAAGTTTTAACAAAAGAAATTAAAGTACCCAAAATATTACAGACCCAAAAAAAATTGTTTCCAAAAGCAAATAAACAGAATGTTTCATTAACAGAGAAAGGCTGCAAGGTAGGATAGGTTAGGAAGCAGTGCTCTGGTCATCATCAACAGCAAGATCCTCCAGCTTCTTGCTGATTTGAGACACGATGTCCTTCACAGTGGACAGTCTCCCCTGTTCAGAGCTCGTGACCAGTTTCTTCAGATCAACATCAAGAGTGAGCACACTCTTCTTCAGTTCCTCCATCTTTACCTTTGAATTCTCTTGTTCCTTCAGCATTTTCTGGAGCATCTCCTTCATCTCCTTCACGTCTTCGCTGGGAACTCTTGGTGGGGAACTGAATGCTACAAACCTTGTACCTGCAGATGCATACTTGCCCGAAGTAGAAGAGTTGTTGATTTTATGAAAATCCTCCTGTACCCCAGTAATGTCTATACAGACAGGTGCTGGGGCCTCCTTTTTATTCATCAACCTCAAACTCTTCCTCTTCTTCCTTCCCCCTGTCTCAATGACCTCTTCCACCTGCTTTTCCTCTTCCTCCTCTTGCTCCTGAATTTCCTGAACAACTCCCTCAACCATAGCAGCAACCCTTTCATCTTCCCCCTCAGATGGTGCACTCACTTCAAAACACCCATCTACAACCCTCAACTTATGGTTTTCAAGGAATATAGGCTG